GTTTCTTATAAGACTCGTTACCTCTTTCCATTCCCTAGTTCCCTTCCCAAGTTTCGTTGTGTCCTTTTCCCCGATCCTCTTCCTTTTTTTCATTTCACTCCTCCATCCGCCACCATGCAGCTGATTGTAATCTTGTAAAACTCCGCAATTCATATTTCGCTTTATTGAATAACTACATGTCGTGCTAACTCGTTTCAATGCATTTTTTCGGTCCTAAAGCGAATGTTTGACTTCCATAGTTGGCATCACTTCAAGGCATTTGTATGAGAGAGAAGCCATGAATTTAATTAAATGCGGTGTTCGTTTGGGTTGTTTTTTTCGTTTCTATTTCTGTCTATGTTTTGTTTTGATAGTTTTTATTTATCTTCTAAAATATTTAAATGTAATTTTTAATATAATATCTTTTATTTGACTTAGTGTTTGCTTCCACTCGAATTCAGTTGGGTCCGCTGGGCACTCCTCGAAACTCCTCGCACTCAGTTGTGTCCGCTGGACACTCCTCGAACTTAGTTGTATCTGCTGGGCATTCCTAGAATTCGGTTGTGTTCGCTTCATTTCTCTAGAACTCGGTTGTGTCAATTTGACTCTCCTCGAACTCGGTTATATTTCTCTAATCTCCTTGTAAAGGTCAAAGACTGGATGGAAGAAAAAAAGCGAAAAAAAGGCAAAGGAGAAAGAAAAAAATGATCATATCAGCATAGGTGAACAGTGTGTTAAATCGTGTTTTTGATGAATGTTATCGGATATTTATTTCATATCGCAAAAATTTTAAAATATTTTGAAATTCTCATAATTTTCAGAATTTATTGGCGAACGTTCACAATGAAATGGTTTGATGGTCCAATAATTGATGCAATAACTACGAGTCGTAGCAAGAAATTATTGTTTGTCGTCGTTGTTCTTCATCGATCAAGTTTATTTGTTTATTTTCATTTCCATTTGTTTAATAATTTTATTTTGCAAATCTTCGCTATTAGCTTCTCATTATGAAATTTCTGATTTGGAATATTAATCTGGAGGAAGTGAAATTTAATATAATTTCATTGACAGAGTCCATTTTTTGGAGATATCCGGATTTTCGATTCCATAATCATTACATCGTCAAACAGTAGAAGAACAGTAGAATAGAAATGTTATTTTAATCAGATATGATGCAAAAAGTGGGAATTCAGTAAAACTGGTGTAATTATATTATTGATTAAGAACGAATAACTACTTACTTAAGGGTAACCAAATTATTGAAAGAATTAATCATTTGCCAAATTAAAAATGGAATAAGTGAAATAATTCATATCTTTTCTGATTTGCTCGTGATGATCATTAAACTAAACCATAAATTATATGTCACACATATGGTGATTTCTAAAATATAGCTGTATTTGTCGGTGTGGCTATATACTATTTGCGACCTATTTTTAGCAGTAGCCAAAATACAACTTTTAGGTATCAGAGATGAAAAAAGTGAGAAAATGCTACAGTTATGGAATGTTGTTGATGAAACAAATTATGAAGGTGAACTAATTGGTATACGTATATATGATGGATCTGATGCTGCGCATCAATTTGCACAAATTTGTATGTTTCAATTTTTAAAATACTTTACAAGCAAAGTTTATTTCAACGTCATGAGTGTTTTTAAAGCGATTTAAAAGATTTATTTCTTTTGTGGCTAATTCTGCTTGTTTAGATTTTTTAGGTTCATCAGTGAAATTTATGAATGAATTTTTTCATAAAATTAGATTTGGAAATTTATTAGTTGCAAATCAAATTTTTCAGATCCAGTTCCGGTTATTCCTGCCTCGTATTTAATTGATCTTCACGGTAAACCACTCGAAATCATAACAGTAACGGATGAACTTAACGACGTCAATTTTATGACTCGTTTGCGATTCGCGCTTGATTCGATTCGCAGCGAAAATAAGTTAGGATCAAAATCTGCGTCCGAAATTGTTCATAAAAACTCAGAAAATTCAGAAACAACATCGAAATTGCCAACAGAATTAGTTGATCCGGAACAAGAAAATGGCAATAATATCGCAAAAAACCCAGAATCCAATTCCAATAACATAAAAAATATGGGTGATTCAGAACTGAATTCCGTTGCACGCAAAAGAATTGAAGCTAACTCTAATACTTCCATTTGTGCGGCGCGAATAGAGGATGAAATCTCCAGAAGTGCAGTATCTTTAAATGAACGAATTGAAAAGTACTTTTTTAAAAAATTAATTACTTTTTAAAAATTAAAATTTTTTTTAAAATTCTATAATTGTTTATCTTAATTCACTATTTATATTTCGCTTTCTCTTTCACAGAATATCAAAATCGAAAAATTTTTCCTTAAGCAACATTTTTTTAGAGCCCGTCAGTTGATTGAGGAAAAACGATTAAAAAATGAAGAAACAAGAAAATTGGAAGAAAAAGAAAAAGAATTGGAACGTAGAAAGGTTGGCAAACTTATGACTGAAGCGAAGGTATTTCAATACAATTTTTTTCTTTAAATTTTATTTGTAATTTATTTTGAGCCCAATCGAATTTTTTATCACTTTATGAATGTGCAAATTGTGGTTTTGATGTTCTGTCATAATGCATGGTATTCAGAATTGGGTATAATTTGAAAAAAATTTATAAGCAATTCTTTGATTACCTCTAGAATACTCGTGAAGAGAAAGAATTACAAGAACTGATGGAAAAAAGACGAAAAGAAAAACGTGAAAATGAAGAATATTTGAGGAAATTACGGGAACAGATAAAAGCGGACAGGTAATAGACATTTTTTATTTTGTGCTTTTTTCCAAAAAAAATGAAAATGCATCATTGCAGAGAAGAATGTAATGGCGGTTTATCGATAACCAGAAAAAACCAGAAAAATGAGTCATTGCAAAAAAACAAATGTTCCATTCAGATGCAGAATTCTGGGTGAAGTTAATTTTTATTTTTTATACATAAATATTTTTCATTGATATATTTCAGCGAGCTGGACATGTATTAATCCTAAAAAAGGTAGCAACGAAAATCTAAAATTAAAAAAAATTTAAAATACCAAGGAATTGCTTTCTAGCATTTAGCACTTCGGTGCAGAGTTTTCGCATTCTGCCATAATTTGGCAATTTATTCTTAACGTCGTCATTGCCAATTCTAGCATTTATTTCTTATTTATATAATTGAAGAATGTGTAAATTTTCAATTTATTGTTCAATTCTTAACTGAATCTTATATTATATTAACATTCAAGCGATTATTTTTCATTACTAGTAGCGGCTAAATTGTATCAGGTGCTGATAATAATCAAAATAAAAATACATTGCTCGTATCAGGAGCATTGCCTATCCTTTCATCCATGAAATTGTCGAAGTACATTTGAGGAACTGTTTGCCCAAAAAGAAATTATATAATAGAGGGATTATTCTAGGATTGCAAGCAATTTTGAATCAAATGATCAGATAAAGATGACATTCATTTCCGATTGTTTTATAGAATCTTCAAATCCAATTTCCGCACTGCTAATCGAAAGGTTCGCACCGCTGCTGGTTTGGCTGATTTCTTTCAAACTAAGAACATGTCCAAAAATTGAAATCACTCCTTTTTACCTTCAACCCTGTTGCTAGGCCATCCTTCATTAAATGAATTCCTGAAGAAAATGGTGAAAACTAATCCCAGAAGAAATTATGCAGAAGAATTTGAAGTTTCACCTAATGCTGTGTGAATCCCCTTCATGAAATGAAAAAGAAAAAAATTTTACTGATATTCAGGAATTAATTGTGCATCAAATGAGGACACATTATTTGATCCTACGACGTAGATCTTCTTTTGGAACGGATAATTTCAGTTTTAATTGGATTCTATGCGACAGTAAAAAGATTAGTAAAATAACAAGAATGGATTCTCTCAGTTCATGTTGACCTTCACTCGAAGACTAGTCACTGTTTAGTCTGTTGATCCGTTATATTTTCTTAAAACCTAATGCAGCTTGGTCTCATTGTAAAGAATTGGAAAGAACTAATAGAAACTACAAATACAATAAACCAACCATCATTGGTCAACAGAAAATTTCATTTTGCATGATAAGACCGTCACCAAGATCACCTTGCAAAAATCTACTCTTTTATCCATTACGTTTCTCAGATCTTTATCCAACAGAATTTTGTTTTTTTTCTACTTTCTCGACAATTTCCTCAAAGAAGACTAAGAAAAAAAAGGAATACGGTAAGCTAAAAAAAGCAGAGCCTTGAAAACATGTTCCAATACTCCAAGTAGCAATCTTTTACGCAAATAGAATCTATAATATATATCAGGTTGGTAAAAGTGGATTCAATCTACTGATATTTAAAAACATTGGTTTTCAAAAAATTGTGGTGTTTCAAAATAAATGGCACAAAAACACAGAATTTTTCAAATGTGTGTAAAGCAGATGATATTCGAATAAAGGTGAATTAATTATCTTCGGTGAATATATACTGATATGTATACTCTTTTTATGAATGATTTTTATTATTCATATTTATTATTTATAGCGGGTGAAACCAAAGCAGTTCGAAGAAAACATGGGGCTTATTTTTCAGCTCCTTGATCTGCATTTCCTAGTCGAAATGAGTTATGTTTTTAGGATAAAAATATTTCTATGCTGAAGTAAAAGTTAATGAATTCTACTAATATTAAATAACAAAAGTATATTAAAAGTAAATTGATTATTATAATTAATTAAATTTTATCAATAAGTTATAATTTGTGGATAATTTTACTCAACCATTTGTCAAAGAATAACAATGTTAAAAATAAACTTTATAGTTAAACCTTTAAGCTTTTTATCACTTTATTACACGAAACTAAAATATTATAATTCATTATAAATGATTTTTATAGTTTGTTTCTAAATAAGTTGCAGTTTTAGCAATAACAAAATAAATTGCTTTAACCGCGTAAATTGCCGTGTAGTTTTCATTAACTTTTTTTTTCCAGAGTTCAAACTTGTATAAAAATTTTATTTTTGCTAAAGTTTCAGCACGGAATGCAGAATTCAATGCAAGTTTAGCGATGGCAGCACTCTTATTCATCATTTTCCATCTTCATCATTATTTTCGGAACTAATTGATTTTATAGAACAGGTGGTTTTTTCGAAAATTTTCTTTGGTTATTTGTGGTTATATTATTTAAAGCTGTTTTTTGCTGTTTTTTGTAAATTTAACACGAATAGATTTTCTATTCTCTTGGAGGTTGAATTCTACTTAAATAAGAGAAAAAGATTATAAAAAAAGGAAAAAAACAATTTTTAATATAGGAAATAAACGATGGAAAATGATATATCAATAATCTGAGATTTAGAATATATGGTAACAAATAATTTTATTTGATTTTATAATATAGATTATAATGAGAGGAAATTACTTCACATGATAGCTTATTCCTTTAATTAATACAATGAATAGTTGCACGACACTATTTTGGTTTTAAATGGACTATGTTTTAATCCCTCCAGGTTTGAACTAAAATCATAATAATTATTACAATGGAGATATAATAGCCAAGTGGATAAATAGATGGTACTGAGAAGAGTGGCCGCTGACAAGAGTAAACTTATCATTTAAAAAATCTGACTGATGCTTACGACATTTCTTTTTAAAATTTTCTAATCGTATTTTTTTTTTTTTAAGGTCAATATCTTATTTAATAGTTATGCTTGTTTACTTTAAATATATCAAGGCAGATTTTTGAAAATTTGTTTGACCTTTTTAAACAAATACGACAAAAAAGAACTGGATAAATAGGGCTCATAATTTTTTGTTAATTGTCAGATTTTTAGGATGGCAGAGTCTCTTCGGATTTTCAGCTGATTCAGATATATCCAAGGCGAGAATTTCCAGACTCAAGCAAATCTTTCTTAGAACTTGGCCTAACTCCATCTGCAACTATAATGGTTATTGAGGTAAAAATTGCTTGAGTATTTGAAAGATTTAATTTGCATTTAATTGTCTTTCTGTCCAAGTTTTATGTTAATACTGTAATTTCAGAAAAGGATTTCGCGAGCAGTGCTGCTTTCAGGGAATTCATTTTTTAGGCGCTTCATAAATTTAGCTTTTATCTCACCATTTCAAGCTTTTTGTCGCATAATACTTCATTTTTTTGGTTATAACAATAACAGTAGATTAAATTTACAAGCACCGGAAACGAGCACAACAAAAAATGAAGATGCGAATCGGCGAAATCATCAACTTAGGGTAAACATTTAGTGAATTTCTGCTTCATAAATGACAAGCAATTTGATGATCAATTTGATCGCAAAAATGATTGTTTCATTTTTCATTTTTTTTTGCTAAATTATTTGTTCTCAGGATGGTAATGTGCACCGATTTCGAAATAGGCAAGATTCTAACCAAAATTCTGATGAAGAAGCTCGTTGGAATGGGAATTCAACACAACAACTATAAAACATTCGTTCAATAAGAAACTGTGCTTATTCATTTTTCCAAGATTAAAGACCCAAATTTCTGATAACCCATTTTATATTCCTGAGATAGTTTTTTTTCTTTTTTTATTTTTCGCCAATGATGCAAATATCCTGGGTAATTTTTGGTCTTAACATTGATGATGTTGATCGAAATTGGTCGTGGTATTTTTCAAAATTTGCAGTCTCTGGGATACTGTCATTAATTCAATTTTTATTCAAATTTTGATCAAGTCTCGAAGATTTCGTTGAGAAAATTGTTTATCCTTGTTGATCTATCTGAACTAGATTTTAATCTCTTATAATAATAACCTTCGAATAATTTTAATTTTTAATTTTCTCATTCAATTTCATAATTAATGGTTTTAACAAAATGATCAGTGATCTTCTGTTGGTGTAGAATTAACAATTAAAAAATTTTTTTGATTAAATAAATGATTGTAAATTATTTTTATTATATTATTATATACATGTTTTCTTTTTTTGTCTTTTTATGTTCTGTTTTATGCCTTTTTTTAAAATGGTAAATGGTATGCTGTATTTGGAAAATATTCAACATAAAATATTCATTATTTATTTTTAAGAATAAAAAGGGAAAAAAAGATTTAAGAATAAAAAGAATATTTTTAAGAATAAAAAGGAAAAAAAATACAGGCAAGTTTGGATAATTAGATAGATTTACAATTTATTTCCATCTTATTGGATATTTGGCTTATTTATTGGTAAAAGAAAATGAACGGCAGGAATGAATAAAACCATAACCAAGTTAGGAACGAGAGGAAAGGAAAAAAAAGATGCAAAAATAAATCTTTGGAAAGTTTTTTGTAGTTTTTGCGACAAAAAGATGGGTCGAAAATAGTGAAAATTCTTAAAATCTATGGGAAATGTCTATTATAGTAATGTTAGTGATGTTACGGAACGCACCATTAGTATTTAGCCAGCTCCATTGAATTTTAGAACAAATAATTTGTGGAGATGGGCACTTGTGGATAGAAATGGGCGAGGTCTATCCAATCCTACTTTTAAACCAGGTCATATACCTCAAAGCCTCAAGTCGATGGGGGTTGATGGAACTTTCTCTCGAGGAGAAGGAGGAGGGAATGCGGAAATATTTCTCCGGAGGAGGTCGGGTTGATGGAGAAAATTCGAGAGGAGGGGCCGTCGATGTGGAACCATTTCTCTCTGAAAAGGGAGTGAAAGGTGAGGCGCCATGGCTGCACAATGATTTTATCGATAAAAACTATAAGCGATCAGTGATCACATCTATCGATCCACTGACGTGCAGCCAGCCGTACACACACACACACCCCCTCACGCGCAACTTACCATGCACATCCAAACAAATAACTCATCTGTGATGGGCGTGGTTTGGCGATTTGTCAAAATGCGTGCGCGCGCGTTAGCGATGCGTCGTGAATTTTTCTCTTCATTTCCTATTCAACGTCATATTTTGCTGTGTGCAATGTCGAGTAGTTTTTGTTGTTCTCGTCCTTCCTCTTCTGACTTCTTCGAAAGGTCGGAGGTCACGTGGTTGACCTTTCGCTACGGTTGGGCGCTAATTTTTAAAGGGCGCTTGATTAATTGAGAATTTGGTTAATAAGTTCGTCTTTTCTTTGTGTCAAAATTCAAATTAATAAAGAAAGTAATTCAAATTAGCGAAAATTTATAAAGCGGCTCATGGTTGATTTAAACTTATTAAGTTAAAGTGAAAATAAGCCTAGGCCTATGGATTGCTAGGACGTTAGATAAGGGAGCACGACATCAGGCTCGTGAAGTGGGCTGAAGCTCGAGTTCTTTAAGTCGGCTAGGAGTCGAGTTCAGGTTTATAGAATCATGACTGGAAGTTTCCTGCTTGCTTAACAGTCCGCGGATTTATTGTTGGGTTTTGTTTTTTTCGAGCTTTCTAGTTCGATTTTGTTGTTCCTCAAAGCTTTTCTTTCATTTCTTTCATCTCGATTTTGCTGTTCGTTCGTATTTTCTTGTTTCTCATTCTTCTCAAATGATTTTTGATCATTAGATCATTTTCTTGGACAATTTTATCTTTTAACATTTTTATGATTTTTTTAAATAAATACGTGAATCGTTGACCATTTCTGTCATTTATTACGCCACCTTTTAATACGATTCAAAATTTGTACCGTCAGGGAATTATTTAGCAGTGTAGGTGAATCGCCAGCATCGAACACTGCTTCTTTAATGATAATGAGTCTTTTTTTGCCTCTTAATACGATAATTCTTTATGACAGTTCTTTATGTACTGCATTTATAAAATAAGTTTGAATGATTATTTTAATTAATTCATTAATTCAATTTAGAATTATTTTTTATAAATTATTCTTCCAGTTTTTTAATTTTTATATTAAATTTTAGACTTTAAAATTTTAGCTTCTTTTTCTTAAAAGTTTTCAGAAAAAATATTTTCTTTTAAAATGTTTATTTTTATTTCTACATTGTTTTTTATTATTTTTTATTATATTTTCATTCATTCTTTTAATTATTATTTTTGTCCAATTCTTTTTCCTTTTATGATTTATAAATTTCCAGTTAAATTGTTTCTAATGGCTTTCTGTACAATGCTTTAATGCCTTAATTCGAAAAAATGCTATTTTTCATATTTTTTTCTTATTCTGGGTTTGCAATTAGTGATACTGAAAATTTTCAGGTTGGGTTCGGTGTAAAAGAAAATTCCATTAAAAAAATGGTTCGTTCCGAAAGTGTTGACGAGGATTTAATACTTAATTGCGAGAAAGTTAGTGGAATTGAAGACGACGATGAATATGGTCAGTGGACGTATTCGAATCGAAGGTTTTCGTTTTTTTGACAAATTTTTTATCTAGAAATTTTTTTTGATCTCATTTATTGAAGGATTATTACTAGATTTTTCTTTAATCTAAGGTGTATTTCATAATTTGATTTTGAAGGGGTTAATTTGTTTTAATTATTTATTCAATTATTAATTTTTTTTTACTTATAATTATATTAAATTATTTTCTAGAGTATTTTAATCTGTCATTATTCCTCAGTTATCATCTGTTTATCATGATTATTCTTTATTTTTTTCAAAAAGCACGCACCCATTGTCACAATCAGTGAGAATCTTGAATGCATAGGCGCACAGATGATATATGGATATGGATTTTGATGGCGGAAAAATGTCTTATATTGCTGTCAGATATAACATAGAGTACCTAGATGTGAAGAAGCGTCTTATTTTTTTATCCAGCGGAATCAGCCTGATCTCACTGTTGTGAGCTGTAAGGAGAAAAGGAAGAAAAACACGCTGTATTTCGAATCTGGCTGGTTTTACAGATTATATTAGGATGAAGCTGTTTTAACAGAAAATAAAAATGTAGAGGATAGAGGTTTGAAAAGTGGAAAAATTGTGCGATTTTTAAAATAAATTTTGCCTTCGGGAGAGGAATCATGCTTGACTTCAAATGAAGACTCAGCACCATTTTAATCACTGTTCATATAATTATTTATTAATTGTGAGTTATTTTTGTATTCTTGAATAATTGATCAAAGGATTCAGTAATCAGTTAGTCACTGATAGCATACCGATAGCAGTTAAAGGTCGAATCATTTATTTGCTTTAGTAAATTCGTAATATTAAGACAAAAGAAGTAATTGATAAGGTGAAATGACTATTATTAATTAATTAGTCGATGAATAGCTGCAGTTTTTTAAAATATTTTTTGCAATCGTTGTCACAGATTCGATAAATCGAAATTTAATTAAATCTTCAGTGATCTCATAAGCATAGAGATATTGAAAGAATATTTTAGAAAATTTTGGATAATATTTGCATAGGAATTAAATAAATTGAGAAAATGTAAAAATAATGATTATGCCGGCTTATAGCATTCTAAACATAATATTATAAATATTTTTTATGCCGGCTTATAGCATTCTAAACATAATCTTCTTTACACAATTCAGAAATTTAATTTTGTTGCGGAAAAAAAATAGTAGAGGTTTTGGGCAGAAATTTTATGAATTGCTGAAAGAGAAATTTTATTTGAGTGGGTAAATTACAAAATCTACTTTTTGAAAAAATATTTAATTTTTATTTTTTTTGTAAATTTGATAAATCGATTGATTTACCTGAAAAATATATATATTAAAAGTATTTATGTATTAGATTTGTATTATCTAATAATTGGATTTTTTCACTCATTTTTTTACATAATTTTTTATAAAACATTTTTTATACAATTGTTTATGTAATATTAACCAGGTTAAATTATTTTTAGGCAAAAATATTTTGATTATTATTATCAATTATTATATTATTGTTAATTGTGATTATTATTATTAGTGAAATAAGGCGACAAATTTATGTTTTTTATTAGCTTAACAAAATTTATAAGAAATATCTGTTGGTTCCGTAGGAAGGAAAAAAAGGAATAAATAAATTTAATTAGACGAGAGAAACTTTTATGAACAGCTGACTAATACAATTTACTAAAACAATTTACTAAAAACTCTTCTCATTTTCGTATTGTTATGATAAACTTTCAATTATTATAAATTTTATTTTTATTTGAAAAAATTACAAGAGATTCAGGTTTCAAAAATTTAATTTTTGAATTTATTTTCAAACAGAATAATGATAATATTAATAATTCTATAAGAATAAATTTTTTCTATGCTGGTAGTCTACCAGTAAAAACTATTATAGAAATATTAGTGTCTATTAAAGAGCGAAATTAGGTTAGATGAAAATGATAAAGGAATATTATGTAGTCGTATAGTCGACTGTAGACTGTACCAATGCGATTCTGCTCGATTGATAAAGATTAAAGATATGCACGATTTATTGTCACCTGGAAAAGGTTTTTATAAATTAAAAATTAATCATAAAGGTTCGCGAGCTTGTCCAATAAATCTATCAAAATTATTAAAAGATATTGATATACTGACTATGCCGGCTTATAGCATTCTAAACATAATCTTCTTTACACAATTCAGAAATTTAATTTTGTTGCGGAAAAAAAATAGTAGAGGTTTTGGGCAGAAATTTTATGAATTGCTGAAAGAGAAATTTTATTTGAGTGGGTAATTGTTGTTATCAGCTGGCTAATATTCATTTAAATTTGGAAAAGTGCTGTTAATGATTTTTTAGTTTCTTCGTTTGCTCATTTTTTGCCATTAATTGCTTAATTGTTTTTTTTTTTAAATTTTGTTTGAGGAAACTGTCAAATCGAAAGTTTTCAAAGTTTTAAAGTTACCGTTTTTATCAATCATTAGATCTTTGCGACCCTTAGTATATAGCAGGTGCTACTCCTTAACCGTCTAAATCTGTGTATAGTTGTCAAAAATCTATTGCTATCAGTAATTTCTTTAAAAAATATTTTTCGTTGATTTCGTTGATCAGGCCTTATTTTTAGAGGAAAAGTAAAAGGAAATTCAATCTAATTGAATCTAAACCTATTTCTAGTTAAATAATGTTAATAATCATTTTTTCAAAAATATATGACGTCCTTCTATTTTATTTTTAAGAAATTTCCACTAGTTTGAGCTTTTTTTATAACCTTGTTATTGCTTGCTAAAATGACTGATTGATAAATGTATAATAATGTATAATGTATGTATAATGTATATGTATATGTATATGTATATGTATATGTATAATGTATTTTTAGTGCAACATCTGGTCGTGTCAATGAGGATACCGCGTCACAAAATGGTGTTGTACTTTCGGATCGACGTATTAGGCGTCAGATTGCGAATTGCAATGAACGTCGTCGAATGCAAAGTATAAATGCTGGTTTTCAGAGTTTGCGTTCTTTATTACCGAAACGAAATGGCGAAAAAATGAGCAAAGTTGGTGCATGTTTTTTTTAAAAAGAGTTCTCACCAATACTGGTTAAGCTTGCTCCACTGACCAATACCAAGGAGTCCCTTGACCAATATGCCAAGGAGTCCCTTGGCGATAGAAATACAGGTAAGTCGCCTGCATCATCCGAATTTTACTCCTGGGAAGAATCGAACATCAGTATCGGCGCTGCCAATTGAGTAACAACTCACTGAGCCATTCTACCCCCATATGTATATGTTATTATCAAAATTTATTCATTATTAACGAGTTTGAGATTTTTGTTAACAAGAAGAATTATTTTTTTTGATTTCTGCTCTAAGTAAAATTTTTGTGGCAATTTTTTTTGAGAATTGCTGGAAATTTTGAAAAATATTTGTTGTAATGTAATAAAAAATATTTGTTATTTTTTTATATAATATGTATTCTTTTATATGTTGTTATTTTTTTCTTTGAAAGTTTCTTAAAATTATTTAGGCAGCAATATTGCAACAAACAGCTGAACTTATTCATACGCTACAAGCTGATAATTTGAAGTTAATCGAGGAAAAAGAAGCCGTAATACAATCAAAAAAACGCAAATTACAAGGTTGTTTACCTTTTGCGTTTATTTTTGTTTAATACATTTTCGATTGTTTCTATACTGAATTGGGAAAAAATTGATTTTATAGAGGAGAAAAGACGAGAAAACATTCTCGTTGATGAATTAACTCTTGCGCTCGAGAAAGAACGTTCTTTGAGACAGTTCTGTGAACAGCAGCTTCGTGAGCTTCAGGCAGCTTCACCTCTTATTTCACCAATATCACTTTCCGTAACGCCTCAACTTCACCTCGGTGCTTCCATTATAAATTCCCCAGCTGTGGGATCTCATACAACGATTGCAGGTTCAGATTATTTTCTGTTTGCTTTAGTTCTTATTATTATTTATTTATAATTATGGAAATAAATGGATTTACTGGAACTAATTTACTAATTTCAAGTTCAATTAATTATAATTTCAGGATTATTGCCACCATCTTTGGAAGAAATCATTGCAAGTTCACCATATACGTCCCAAAATTCTAAAGCACCAAGATCATCATCGGTTTCACCAATTTCACCAACTCTTAATATGGTGAAAAGAGAAATTGAACAAGATACAACAGCAAATCGAATCGAAATATTGCCACAACCACAACCATTAAGAACCTCAACTGATCGATCCCCATCTGCAACAAGTGCCGCAAATATTAGCCAACGAAATCTTAATGCAATTCTTGAAGCTATTCGACATCTAGAAGGTGGGACTGTCATGGTCCCGAGTTCAACTGTCTCACCAAACCAACATTCTAATGTACTTGTGCGCTAGGTTTCATTAATGCAATCAACAATTATTGCTTCATTGACTACATCCATTGTTCTTGTTTTCTTCCGGTATCTTTATATATTTCATTTATGAATTTTTTGAAAAATTTTGGATAAGGATAAGGATAAGGAAGGAATTGTGAATAAAGATAATAATGAAAATTTTTGTTTTTTGTTGTTGAAGAAAATTGTTTTAGAGCGAGCTTTAGATGATCTTCAAAGCAATATTTTAATGTTAGGCCAACAGTTGATCATTGTTCTCATTAGTTAATATTTCTTCTTTATTTTTTGTCTTTCTAAAAATTATTACAGAAGCCATATAAAATCATGAAGTATAGCTTCATAGAGTTTTTCGAAGCAACCTTTCACGAAATTTGACCGATATGCGTTACTGTAGATACAAAAAAATGTCTGTTCTGTAATGGTTTATTTTCCCAAATGTTTTTATCTTATTTTGCCTTTAATGTGCTAGCCATTTTTTTCTAATACACGTAAATATTCCTTTAAATATTTTAATTCTATGGCCAAGGATTAAATTAAAGAAGCATCATTTTTAAAATTTTAAATTAAGAAAATCAACATTCTTTAATCGAGATTTTTATATTTATGCTATATTATTGTAATTGTTATCATTGTTTATTATTATTGCTGTTATTTATTATATTGTCTTTATTTTTATTTATTGTTATTGTGGATTGTCGGTATAGGAGGCTCAATTCTTTTTCAATCCTTATTATTTATTTTTATGTTATTGATTTGTTTTGTAGTTCGGATTGCATCGAAAAAATTATTTAAGGAAGAATAAAACATGCCGAAATAGTTTATTGGAAGAACGAATTAAGGTCAGATTTAAAACGAATACAGAAATAAATATAGGTAAAAATTTTCCAGTCTTTTTCTTGAAATTTTTACTGTTAATGAAAATTTCGGTCTTTCATCATTGTTTTTTTTGTTTTCTTATTTTTACAACTAATATGTTACTGCTGATAATAACTGATGTTTCTTTTTTTTTTCTTGGCTTTTCCATTTTCATTTAAGTCCTAAAAAGTTCGAAATGGTGAAAAGAAATCGAATATTTTTAAAATAAGAAATATTTATTTGAATATAAATATTTGAATAAGAAATATTTTTTATCGAATTTTATTCTTAACATTCTGCATCTTATTTTAGTACTGTTATTAGTGATGGTGTTTGGTACAATCCTTACGAATGGATAATTTTCGTTTTACAAAAAAATAGAATAAATTTTTTAAGATAATATAATAGATTGAATTGGATTGTTCAGTATTCATTTCTACTCGATTTTTTAAAGTCTTTTGATATTTGATATTTGTCAGTGTTTCTCTTGATAATTATATTAATTAATTAATTATTGCTGATTATTTTGACTTTTAACGACATTTACTTGTTAAGTTACTAGAAGAAAGTTTGTTTGTTTGTTTATTACTTGTTTCATAGTTTCTATTTATTCATTTCTTGATGCATATTTTATGAGAAGGAATTAATTTACTCTTTTCATTGCCATCGTTATTTTCTTTAGATTTATCTAAAGGGAAATCGAGTAAATTTCGAGATTTTTGTAGATTTGACCGAGCGAAATGCATGCATATGCATCAATTTGAACCGATTTAAATTGGATGAGAACTTATTTCTCGGTGTAGACATACGTGTTATACTAATAGCTGTAGTTTTTTTGATGTTTATTATGGTGCTGGTTACCTAATCATTTTGCGATGTTTCTCTTCTCTCTTTTGTTCTTTTGTGGCTCGAACTGATAAGTGGTAACCAGTATCCATATGTTATTACCTTAATTTTGTTTTAGCAATGAACCAGTGGTTAAATATAATTTGTTGCATATTTACTTCGTTACCTTTTATGAGAGCATATAACCTAATCTAAATGGGTTTTATCGAATTTTTTTTACTTTCAAATATTTTCAATAATTTATAATTTATTATCGAAAAAAAATTATCGATGAATGCAACATTTCTTACTTATTTTTAAAAGGTATCAGAAGTAAACTCAAATTTTTTTGCTAGTTTTCTTGCTTGTCAAGCAAAGAATTCCTTTTTTTGGAGGACAATACCACTCTGCAATGTCTTTTCTTTGTTATTCAAATAAACTGTTGGCTTATTTTGGAATTCCATAGCAATTTTTTAGTTCAATTCAATGGAGATGGGAGCAAAATTTGTTAATAGAAGTGAAATACGGAAATTTAAAAGCTGAAGAAAACGGAGTAAAAATTTTATTTATTTTTGAGAGGAAGTATCAGTAAAAGATTACAATTCACATAGGAAAGGTTTTTTATTTATCGGTTCGATGGAGAAACTGCTTACCCATTGAAAAAATCCAAGAGTGTTTGTAAGTCATAATTTGATAATAGTTGAAAAAGTTCTTCGACTTTTGGTTTTCCATTTCGCCCACACATACGTTCTTTATCTTTTTGAAAGAAATTTGTTACACTTTTTCGAAAAATTTATTTTTGCAAATTTTATAAATCTTAAGTAATTTTTGACTCTTAAAAGAAAGCATTTGCAGAAAGTAAAGTATTAAGTAGTTAGTCCTCACCATTTCTGGTTAGGCTTCACTGGCTGGATGAGTAATCTTCGCCATAGGATCACTTGGTGAAAGAAATGCAGGTGAGTCGCAATCACCATCCGGTTTTTAATGATGGTTCAAGAAAATAAGTGTAAATTACCTATATATAAATCTGTTATGATACCAACTAAGCGATCATAATGAGGAGTTCGTTTAATGATTTCGTCGCGTAATTGGTCATGCAAAGTGAAAAGTTCCTTCATTTCTGGTGATAAGTACCATAAATCTTCACCATTATCTGATAATTCCTAGACAAGTATGATATAAAAATTCATACACTAAAGAAACAAGATCCGATTGTGATGTAGATTAGCATATAATTTTGTAAGAAGAGGAAGAAAAAGGCAGAATTAAGTAAGATTGCGGATTGCGGATAAAAAATACCCATCCTTTTCAAAGGAATGAAATTTAGAGTAATCGAATTTAGAGGAAGCACATACCTGTAAAGCTTGCGAAATTTCGAATTTTTGCGTTAAGCAACTAAATTCCTCCATCTTTGGATGTAAAAGTTGGAGCATATGAATAATACTCTCTTCCTTCATTTCTGCAAATTTTAATTAAATATTTGAGTTCGATCATTTCTTCTAAGAGGATACAAAACCTGGTATAGCTGCCATCCGGGTTTCATTTCTAGTGGCAGCTTTACCTTCTCTCAAGAGGCAGTGATCGAATTCGTGTAAGCCGCTATTGCTAGCCATTCAGTCGAACTTGCCATGTTAAACTTCCTGCTGCAAAAGCCTGATTTCTTCGAATTATTGGCTGTTGTCGTCAATGGAGTCATCCAAATTAGGAAATGGTGAATGGTGAAGAAGGAAAAACTGACGGATGGACACACATCAATTCTTATAGTTTAAATTTTAAAAATTTCGAGATTTTTTTTTGTGAATTGTAATAGCCGTCTTATTAATTATCCAATATTTTATTATATATTTTATAAAACTATTTAATTATTTATCTAATCCCATATAAAATCCTTTAGGGATTTTTCATTTCATTTCATTCCAGTCATTCTTTCTCATAGCTAATAATTTTTATTGTTTACTTTGGCTATTTTAATTTTTATCTGATATATTCAGTTACCATTTCGAATAAAATTTTAATGGATTTTATGACTCCGATTTCTTTTTTCAAGAAATCCATTTTTGATTTTAACAGAAAAAAGGGAAAAACTTTTACTCCTTCCCTCTCCCTCTCCCTACCTTCCCCCACTACCCTCTCCCTTTTCCCACAAAATATAAAAAAAGAAAATACAAAATGAAATTTAAGGTCCGAGTAGATGTATAATCTATAAATTAATAAAGCGATAACAAACCACTATTAATATCAACTTTAATTTGTTGTTTCGTTACTTCTTTGCTGATAACGTCTTTGATAATTGATATCGTCGTGATATTATCACTACGGTAGATTGCAAGTCCTTTGCTTAAAAATTAACATTTTCACTGTGAGGTCCTGACTGAGAAGATTTTATTTTAATTGAGGTCCAGCAGTCATAATTTTGGTTCCTTTGACGAAAAAATCTATCATTAAAAGTGGAATCCGAGTAGCGCTACCATCCCAAAGTGATTTTCTGGCAAAAGGATATTATCCTAGCAACTAGTTAAACCAGTCCAACTAGAAGTGGTGTTAGAAGAAATCATTCCATTATTTAAAGAAAAATGCCATATGAGACTGTGCATATTATTTTTCTGGTATGCCTACATGATGACTTTAATTTTATCCATCTATTCTTTATGTAAAAAGCGGTCCTTATTTTTTTTCGATTAGCTGGTTCAACTTAATATCTTAAAATTTCATGTATTATGTAAGAACTCCCTTTTTCAACCTTCAGTGGATAGTAAAGGTTATTTTTATTCTCGAGCCTTCTAGGCCTGTTAGAGATCTAGGAGAAGAGACTGAGAGTTCTGCGGAGTGCCTTAGATGTTCATAGCAGTGCGCTCTTCTGAGCAGAGATGTTGCTCCTGTTGAAGTCAACTAATTTAGAGATTGAGATTGCAGTTCGAAGCGGAGATATATGGTTTGATCTTGAGCAATTGTATTGTTATTCCGCTGCAATTATTTTTTCGGAATATTTTCTAGAATTTTCTACATACTTCGAACTGTTAGCCAAGTCTTTTTTGTTTTGTTTTTTTCTTTTTCTCTTTTTCCTAAATTTAAAAAAAAACAAATAAAAAATTGAAATAACTGTATGTATATAAAATTTTATAAAATAAAATAAAATAATTACGTTTGCTTTTGACAGGAGTAAATCTGTCATGTCAAAAATCCAGATGGTTGCTGGGGACCCACCTATAATTCTATCCCCAAGTGACTCTATGGTGAAAGGGTCAGGTTTTTTCAAAACCTAACCAGTAATGGTGAAAGCTATTAGAAGAAGTTCCAAGCGCTCCAATTATCAATGTAACTTTTCCACTTTGATCTTTTCCACATCTCTAGTTCCTCTTTCAACCCCTGATATTTCTTTAACATGTGTATGTGTAATGTTTTAATTATAATCATATATTTTATATATCAAATATTTTAAAATTCGAAAAAAAATTTAAAACTTGAGAAAATTGCACTGGGGATTTATGGATTTTTATGCGATCAGCTTGTCGAAAAAAGTTTGAATCTTGAAAAAGTGATTTACTATTTATATAAAAAAAAGATATATAATTCTAGTGGAAATCGCCTTAGACTTCAGGAAATCCGCAGAGACCAGTTTAACAAGGATATAGCATTTTTTGATAATAAAATAAAAAGATAGAAGATGTTTGAGTCACCTATACTCGGCTTGCATTTGTGTTCCTCCATTAGATGTTGAAGCGAAATTGAATATCACAGTATCTTGAGGTGGTACCCGTTCTGGTACCTGTGACACTAATAAGTTCAGCCATTGATGTGCTTCTGTAAGAGAGAATTTCCCGGTGAATTTTAATATATTCAATGGTCTGCTGTTATCGAATTCATGAATTCGTTCATGCAAAGACAATGGTTTTATATTGTATATTCGTACCTAAACATAAATATAATGGGGTTCATTTATGAAATGAAATGCATTCTATGCATTTAATCAGATTTACCACAGAAATTTATTTGTTTCCAATTTCTGATTTTACTGGCTCCACTGACTATTAGGACGGACCCTTTCTGCCATTAGAAAAGCCATTAAAGAATATAAGGTGCAAATGTTTTTTCAGCTATCATTGTTTTGTCTTTAAGATTAATAATATAATGGTGTTATCAAATTGTTTCGATGGAATTCGAAAATTGATGCGATTCAATCCTTCAACCCAAAGTTATTTAAAAGATATTTACAGTCCAGTTTTGAAGGAAACATTCTATTCTATCAAATATTTTTTTGAATGTTTTTAGGTGACTAGTAATATGAATGATTGATAGGGACTCATCTATCTCCAATTCTCTATCTGGCGAAAGGTTGCCTAATTGCCTCATCTTATGGTACTAGGGAATGGTGCCAGCGAAACCGGATAAAATACGATAAATGATCTTTGATTGATTCAGATTTTAAAGATTTTTTGATTAGCTGATAATTTTTGTTTATACCTTCAAGAAGAATAGTTGCATGTTCATGAATGTCCGCGAATTAACTAAAAAATCTATCTTTTCACGATTACTATCTCATTTAAAAATTTTAATAGCTTGATGGTATTGCGTGAAAGTTATTGCACTCGACACGTATTTACTATGTCGAGTGGTTCGTAGGCTTCGACGAAAGTACAATTTTTGTCCCTTGGCACGAGTAAACTTAGCAATGAAATCCGAATGTTGCTGGGAATTCATTTGCACTTCCATCCTCAAGTCACTCATTGGTAAAAGGGTTTATAAGGGATCAACTAAAGCCGAACCAGGAATGATGAGTTCTATTACTATGAGAAGTGGAAGAAGATTCCTAGCTTATAGTTCGCTTTTCTTCTGATTTTTTACAAATTACCTATCGCCTTAAATTTTGATGAATGTCGGTGTTCAAGGCGCTACTTTAGTTTTCATCCAAACTCATTCTTCGAGGGTTATCAGATGTTTTTTATCGCTTAATCAACCATCAAATTTGCACTTTCCGCAACTTTCTTCACGCTATCACTTTCCGCCTATTTATTCCTCCATTTCGAATAATAACTTAATCACCACAATCGTTAAATGCGATAAATTGGCGATTTCTGTTAATTCATGAAAACCAACCTGGCTAGTTTTTGGATTGCATTTTGGACATATATAAGCTCGAATTGTTCCGTATTGGCCTTCGACGGATCGAATTCGAACCTCAATTCGTGTGGTATTCGCTTGACATCGATAGGTTGCAAGGAAAGCATTTCCTGACTTTAAATCATTTTTTATTATAAGAGACAAATACTAACAAATATATAAATATTTTATTAATAAAATATCTCAATAAACAATAAACGAGAATTTAGTCAATTAATTAACTTTGGATTACAAATAAAGTGTAAATGTAGTTATTTTTTCTCGTGACTAAATATTGAATTTTTGAATCAGTCGAAGGAAAACAAACATCAAGAAGCCACAAACTCTTTCGCAAATTATAATTACATAAATAAAAATAATAATTGTAATTATAGTTCGTTTAGTGGTTAATACTCACCATTTCACCGTTTCTGGTTAGGTTAGCTCCACTGGCTCTTAGTCCCCACAGAAATTATTGCCATGGCGGTTATTGCTACCACTAGATGAATGGTCAGTACCAACCAAATAAAATCTTTGGATCAACAAGTAAAGTAAAACCTCATTAGGAGTGGAAAAGACTGATTTACAAGAGAATTGAGGGTAGCGAAAAAAATTCTTACACCTTCATCTGGTGTCGTAAAAGATACAACTGCTAAATTCTTCTCGGAGTCCAATAATTCAATGCGAACATCGCTGTAAAATAGGTGCAACGAAATTTTTCAAAAAATGAGCGATTTTATGAATAATGGAAATTATCTATAAAAAATCTGTAAAAATATTTGATATGTATTGTAGTTCAAACCATATCTGTAAAAATCTGAAATGTATTGGAGAACGATGGTTGAACAATATGTCAGTTTTCGTGAGGGCACGTAATTTGATTCTTCAAATTCACTTCAAATGATTAAGCTGTCTGTCTAATCATTGAAAATAAAATCCAAAAGAAAATCCTAGGTATGCACATGTAATATTACTGTCTGGCGAAAAATTCTTAAGACCCAGTGGCTCCAATTAGGGCTGAGACGAGGAATGCAATAAAATGAAAAATGGAAATACGAATCTGTAATAATATATAATCGATGGCTACAACAAGTTCAATCGACAGCGTATAAAAAGCATTTTCTTTATCCATCGTGAATTGATCTTGCATAGCAAATTTAGGTGCAATAGCCATTTCGGTATTGTCACGAAGAGTTAATTCATGATATCGTTGGCGTTCATTCACAACTCTGGTCTCAAGTCGCTCAACCTCATTCCTATAGAGTTGATAAAATGATGTGGTACCGAATTATTAGATTTATTTAATTTATTACCAGAAAAAGTTCCTAGTAAATCTTTATAAGCTATTCGACAGGCTAAGATTTGGAGAATTTAAAAATTGAGAAATATTTGAAGGTACCTTAGCTCTTGAACTTTGACCTCAATTTGTGGTGATAATGATGCATTAGAATTAGCTCTTGGTTCCGTTGTTAAGCCGAATATCCAACCCGTATAGGTGCATAGAATAATTTCATCAAAATTAGGCGATGAGACGCGGCCTGCTTGAACAGCGACGATACTTTCTTCGCATTGCTTTAGACAAATTAAAAATTGAAAGCAAATAAGAAACACTGGAAGATTTGTTTTCTCTTCATATTCCCCTTTGCATTACAATGATAGATATTTTCACATTATAAAAATTAAGCCTAGCATTAAAAAATGAAGGTGTTGCTGGAGACGCACCTATTCCAGGCAGCAATGCGAGTCCAGGCATTAAAAATGGTGAAAAATCAACTAAAAATTAAACGTACATAAAATTTTTTGAGCGTAGCAACATCGAAGCTATCTATGGAATAAATTTCGACTAAGCCGTCCTCTTTGCCGATAATGACATCGGGAGTTGTGCCCATTAAAGGATAACAGTAGATGCCATTTATAGCTGAACAGAAGATTCAGTTAATTCATAGAACGAATAGGTCTAGGCTTATAGCTTGAAGTAGGATGATGCTTTGACTAGAACCAAACCATCATAACGGTTATTGGAGCGTGCCAAACAGTTTCTTACTTAAATCTTGCCAGTTGTTTTAAATCTTTAAAATAAAGGAAGTCTAGTTTTTTTTTCTGGAAATTCAACATAATTTTTTGGAAATGCATTTTATGAATAATTAAGATATTAGTACCACTAGAACTTTGCGTTTTTATCTCCCAAATTATTTGCCCATTATCTGGTGGTAATTCAACAAGTCCAAGACGTCCATTCTTTGTGCCAAATAACACTTTTTGTTTACTAAACCCTGAAATATTTGAAATGGCCTAATATTTTGTGAAACGAGTGCATCGATAGCGTAGTGGCAAAATGATTGCCACGGAGGACCACGGCTTGTGTTCTAATCAACCAACATACCACGATTCATCGGGCGGCACTGTGGCATAACGGAGGAAAATAAGGAGAATAGAGTGGTTCAGTGAGTTCTTTCTTCAATTCGAAGCGCCGATGCTGGAGCTCTAATCCCGGCAGGAGCAAACCTTTGAAAATCTGGGTGACGATGGACTCTGGCATATTTATATAGTATAGCCCGACGAGTCAGTGGAGTGAGTCTAACCAGCAATAGTGGGTACTCTCAAAAAAAATTATAGAACCACAAGATGTGTGCGGTTTTATATATTTTTCATATATTCCATATTTAACTATTTAAACTGAATTGCATTGTTTATTTATCACTCATAGCTAATTTTTTTACTGCAGAGAAACATTTTTTAAATAACTGAAACTGATCATTTCTAATTTAATGGCTCCACTGATTGCTAGAGTGATAATTGCCGGCAGAAAATCGCTTGATGATAGAGTTGTAGATAAATTCTCAGCATCATTAGGATTTCAATGGCTGCTTCTCACGTTAAGGGACAAGAACTGAATCTTTGCTGCTTGGCCTTAGGTCAAAATAACATACAAACTCGTTTATCCTTTCCCTAAACAAAGATGCCACTCTCACTAAAGGGCTATTTTAAAGGAGTATTTGGCATACTAAAGAGCTGAATTTCTCAAATTCAAATATTTTTGTTTAAACTGGAAGAATTACCTCCATCATTGAGAAATAAATGCAGTACATTCGGTATATCGGAAATGTTCACTTCATAACTTACTTCGCTACCTTGAATTATCTAAAGAAAATCTAAAATAAAACCTTCGAAAAAAAGTTAAAATTTCACGAGTCATTTCAAATTTGCCTTATTCGCCTAATTTTTTAAAGTTTTAATCTTATAAATAATTTTCATTAACTGCGGAATTCATATCCTTTCATTCTTTTTAATAAACTATTTCATATCACTATTTTATATTACACATTATTGCACATCGGACGATCGCTTCCACTCAGCCCTATTTCCCATGAAAATTTTTTTTCAATAGTCGAGTCCAAAATGGAACTTGAATAGGAATGTCCGGAGACATTGCCGCCGGACGAAAGCGTGATGTGCCAGTTGAATTCGAACCTACTGTTCATTAAAACTATCATTTTAGATCACTACAATAATGATACAGTACAAAATGAGGGCAACCTTGATCGTTTTGTCATTACATGCAAGTAACGGTGTTAATCCTCTACCGACCCACGAGCCTTCGGTTACTGGTAAACATAATATATCATTTATATCATCACTGGATCGGTAATTCTAAAAAACATCAAAAAAATCTTCCATGTTTTCAACTTATTAAGTAAATTATCCACCTAAAAAATTTTTGAAAGGCAAGGTCGACTGCAGCACTCTTCTTCTAATACCTTTTATTGCTATTAGTTTGGCTTAGTGCTTGACTATTAGAATAAAATCCTTTCGCTATAGTACAAATTCAGCAGTATAAGCAAGTTCAGTACTAATAATAATAAGTTTGTTCCTATTAAGGAATATAGATCGAATTTAAACTACTCGCTTTACCCAGTAGATAATGACTCGCATGGATTAGTTTGAAGACTCTTCGATTATCGCTTAATAAAATTTAATGGTCGCTTACATTGGCTTCGACGCAATCATGGTAATGAATAAACGACAGTCGTCCACACAAAAACATGTCAACTCCATAGATATACCTGAAATTATGGCCAAAGCCAAATGAAGACATTGCTGCAAAATCATTTTGCCATATTATTATTGTTCATATTATTGCTTGTTTTTATTGCTTTTCTTATCATTAGATGTATTATTTGCAAATTTGCAAATTTATGTGAAATTTGTTAAACCTAAAGTAAATTCAATGAATTTGAACCATTCTTCTCTTTTTATTTTTTAAAGAAAACTAAATTAGTGTTTTTCACAAAATTATTCTTTATTTAATTTCATTTACATTTAGTTTATTTTATATTTGCACTTATTAATTTCATTAAATAAGGTGCAGTAAAGTGAAGTAGAATCAAATATTTTGAGAAGTTTTTTTAAAATTCTGCGATGATAGATCTTGCCGAGGTTTATTTCATGATGAATTTTATCAATCAAAATATTACTAGTTTAACTAACATTGATGATGTCGGCTCTGCCATATTCGTCTCGAAAGTGAAAAAGTGTTTGCCTTTTTTCGAATAAGCCTTGACCTGATTTCCACTCGCAACAAATATTTTATCTTGTACTGTACCAAGCGCTCCACCAAGTCGTAAACAATTTATTTTGGCTCCAGTCATTGTTTTAAATATTGCCTAAATAATAAATTATGGAATCATATCAACTTAAATATTAATTTAAATTTCTTAATAAAAGTAATTGTGCACCATCAAACCTGCATGTTTGATCCTTTAATCGCCAAACATTGTACGGCACCATCATGGTCACCACATGCGACCTGAAAATAACAATCAGAATTGTATGATAAATCATGTTAGAAGTCTACCATTACCAGTGAGTCTGATGATAAAGTGATTCAACAAAATCGACTAATAATTTAAGGTTTAAAATTAATTGCATTTCACTTTTAATGTCTTAATGTTTTAAAGTTTTTCTCTGGCAGAAGAGGAGCTATCACAAGCTGACTGCCTTCAATTGAAGCAAAATATATCCAACACTGCGTGGGCGAATTCAACCCATCTTTGCACTACTCGGCTATCGTGCCCTATATATATATGTATATATATTTGTCAATTATAGATAGCGAAATATTTATCTGAATTTAGTAGCAGTATTATTTTAAAAAAAAAAGTCGAGATGGCAAAAATATTAACTCGATCCAAACTCTTTTTTTTATCTCCACGAATGGAAGGAATCAAACGTAGGCAACCTTTACTTACTGTACCAATTTGAACGTAATCTATTCGAGTTAAAGATAGCTCCATTGTTGGCAATTAATTAACTAATCCAGTGAAGCTCTATTCTCACCATCGATGTTCAATCTTTATTGGTTCTCTGTTATCTGCAAAATTTTTCACCACGAATCAATATGGAATTATTGGCGAAATATTCACAAAAAATCGAGCGAAAGCAAAGCTAAAATGAGGCTATGACACGTAAAAGGTGAGCTCCGAACTCCGCATTTCCATGTGGACAATATTGAATAATGCAGTTTTATTTCAAGTTTAGAGGATAGTTGCCTAGTAACGCTATCGAATCATATAGACCAATAAAGAATGGGCACAGTGGGAAGACTTTGAGCTGTGTGGACCACAGCAGTTCTTTCTTCTTAAGCATGGTCTCTAGTTTAATTGCTTACAGTTCGACTTTAAAATTTAGAGGCAAAATTGTGCAGTGGTACAATGTTGTTTCTATTAAACTGAGGCCATCACAGGCCCAATTCTTTTACCTTCTTCTTCATCTCTGCTTAAATGCTTATTTATCATCATTTTTTAGAAATGGCTCTCTGGCGAATTGACGCTAGCCTAATAAATAATGGAGCCAACCAACCTGCAAATGGTGAATAGTGTAGAAAGGTGAAAATATTTACATTGTGCACAGCGATTTATAAAAACGAACAGGAATATCATTTATTCTGAATTATTTTAAGTGTTATGAACAAATAATTCATAGAAATATATCTTATTAATATATAGAAATATATGTTGAAAACTAGAATGCATTACAGAGAAGAAAAGGACGGACGCGATCTAATATCCGGGGGCAAGTCGAGCCGGTGGACAATGATCACAGCCTCCAGGTGCTCCTGCAATTTACACGTTATAGAACAAAATATTATGAGAAAAATTTGCATTCACAAAGTGAAAACAATTGCAAAACCATTATTTAAAGACAAATAAAAGTTTTTCGAGAAGAATGAATAATCGAAAAGGATTAATTATTTACCAGCTTCTCCTTGGTTTCCAGGTTCGCCTGGTCGTCCATTCAATCCTGGTGAGCCGGGATTTCCGGGAGGTCCAGGTGGTCCAACAGGCCCTGGTTTGCCATCCTCTCCATTTGGACCTGGTGGCCCAGCTTGGCCAGGTGCACCAGGTCTACCTGGAGCACCAGGTCGTCCAGGTGGCCCAACTTCAGTGCGGTATATTCCGGGTTCCCCTGGCGGCCCAGCACGACCTGGTTGCCCTGGTTGGCCTGGCAATCCAGGAGGCCCACGAGGGCCTTGATCTCCAGGCTTCCCATCTTCGCCATTCTGCCCTGGTGGTCCTGGTGGGCCATCTGGGCCTGGCGCTCCTTTTGGCCCTGGAGGACCAGCTGGTGCGTCACATGGGCACTGTGGCGGAAAGAGTGTTTGTAGGTCATATGTAACGGGGGCAGGAGATCCGGGTGGGCCGAGCTGGCCAGGTTCCCCATCAATCCCATCGGTCCCATCTCGTCCAGGTGGTCCTGGTGGTCCAGGTAGTCCTCGCTCACATGTACAACAAGATTCTGCACTGTATGTAGTTACTGCCGCTGTTTTCGCCGATAAAATTAAAGTTTGCTTCGATCGTTGTTGCTCATCTTTAAGTTCTTGGTCACGAAGGCGTCTTGCCCAAAAATCAGCAATCGTATCACGTTTATGTAATTCTCGATGAGATAACAACATTTCTGCTATTTTCCTATTATCAGCCCTATTGCCAAGCTGAATATCAAGTAATTCTTTCCACATATCTTTGGCTCGAGTCTAAAAAATAATAAATCTTCCTTTTTCTTAATAAATTCACTATTTTCATTGGAAAATAATGAAAATGTACCTTGCAGAAATCGAGATCAATTTGAACGGTTGACTCAAGAGTTTGTATGTAGTTAATAATAAGTGGAAACGAAATCAAGACCGAACACACTGCGAATGTGCTGAAAACCACCGATATGAAAGCAATCGGTTTAAGGCTTTGCGACTGCTTCTCGAAAATCATCAATTGTTGTTCTATCCTATGAAATACCAATATAATGTGTTCTTTTATATCAAATTCTAAACCGGAATAATGACCAATCGTTCCACCACTTTGATCGCTCAACATCAACTTCCATTATCTCTTCTTATCCTCGTTCAGCCACTCTTTGCCAAAACTGCTTTTTAAAATTATTTTGCTAGGTTTGTTGTCTTCAAATGGTTTTCATATCGCAAAAAAATCTTCGTTAAGATTCACAGAAAAAAACAGAGAATTTAAGGAATTTTAAGTGATTTATACAATGTCGGAAAATTAAAAGCATTCAGCTCGTTTGAAATGACAGAAATTAAAATCCATGCGACTTGGCCTCAACCAAAAACGACATGCGATTTTGCCATTCTATAACCTTTTGCTCTCATTTTCCGACATTGAGAAAATGTTTCAAAAAATCAAAAATAAATCAAATAAAATAAATTATATGTTCTAATCCAACGCTAATGCTAAATATGTAATGTTTGCGATCAAAGGTAAGAATCGTGTTTATGGCCAAATTATTAGTGAAATATTGCAGGACGGTATAATAGTAATTCTCAATTTATTTATGGCGTTCTTAAGGATATTCTTCTGTGATATGCGATTCTGCGGCTCTTAGCGATATTCTTCTATGATAGCGCCCATCATTATAGTTTGGCAAACTTGGCTGATTTGTCGTCGACCAAATTTCATTTTTCTTTATTCAGACAATTTTTTGCTAAACTTTTCTTTCATTCTAAGATTTGCTCCTGCCTTAGGGAATTAAAGGTTATTATTCTCAAATCAACATGTTGAAAATGTCAAAGTACTTAAGAATCTTCATCTATTGGTGGCAACTAGTCGAGTAATCCTTGCTTATCCCAGATTATAACCTCGAAGCATTCGACTTCGGATTTTATTTCCCACTTGTCGTTATAGTAGACAACTTCTGGCAAAAATTCCTCATCATAGTAAGGCGAGCAGCTTAATCAGAAATGATAAGCATTAATCACTATATTTTTTTCATATCAGAAATTACCGCTGAGTTTTTTTTATTTCTAAAATGATACTTGCTTTTTATTCCTTTTTTTGGTAAATTTTTTCTTTTTTTTTCAAATTGAATTTATCCAGTTCTAGAATGAAATAAAATAGAGGATATAATCCTTTATTCGAGTTTTGACGAATTTCATTTTTTTATGAAATAGATTTTTTGACACATTGAATTATCGTTTTAAGTTACATCTTATTACATCATATGCTCGCAATTCTTCTCGATTATCGACTTGAAAATTAAGGGAAACTGATTCGAAATACACGATAAACTGAAGAGGAAACCTTTTATTATATTCATCTTTGTATTACTATGCAAGCCATTACATAAGCACTCAGCATTTCTGCTTCGCTTGGTTCCATTGATTATTTATTATTAGGAGTGAGCCTGTGAGTTGCAGTGAGTCACAGAAGCGCAGATGATTCCCAGTTGCACTGAAATTTTGTTTTTATTCCAGCCAAGAAGGATTCCTCTTATGACTGAACTTCAGTTGAAACAATATAATCCTCGATCTTCTTCTTCTAAGCTCTTACTATTATTAGTTAGGCTATCTCCAACGGTTACATGGGTAAGACGCTTCGAAGCGGCGCGGTCTGATACCATCATCGACAGTAGTAGAAGCCATTCCTTTTTTCAGCTAAGTCTAAGTCCATCTAGTGCTGATCCATCTATACGTTTAAAATCTTTTTTGACCTTATCACTCTAAGTCTTGATTGGCCCATCTCGCTTTTGACGTCAACCATCACACAACTAACGAAATATGCGACAACTCTTGTGACGAACGACGAAGAACGTGTCCTAACCAACTGAGGCGACGCTATGTGATAACATTATTAATGCAAGCGGTATTTGAACGAAGGTGGATGCGATCATGTGATATTTTATCCGCTTTATATTTAATCCGACGGAGCCGTAAAATGTACCTTAGACAAGAGTGGTCAAAGGTAAATAGCTTCTTAATATATCTTCCACTCTCATTGGCCATGTCTCAGAACCATAAAGCAAGATCGAACGAATCATGGCTTATAGATACGACTTTCGTTTTTATGGTGATTTCATGACGACTCCATAAAGGTTTCGTCAACTGGAAAAATTTATTTCTAACTGCCGTGATCCGGGCTATAATATCGTCTTTTGCATGGCCATTTGGTATTAGAGTGGACCCAAGGTATTCAAAATCGGTCGTTTCCTCGACCGGAATTCACAAAAAGAGGCATTTCATCAGCTTCTTGTATATAAGACGAAAAGATTTTCGTTTTGTTTACATTGACCCTGAGTTTTATTCTTGCTGCAGTTTCTGACATGTTATTTAGCATTAATTGCATTTCGTCATAACTATTAGTAAAAAGGACTGCATCATCAGCGTATTCACGATCTGGACACGATATGATGCTCTGGACTGATTTGGACATCTCTTGAATGCCGATAGGCGCTGTCCATTGTCCAGTCTATCGCATAATTGAATATTGCCTTGACGGACACCAGTTCTTATTTTGAAGGAATCTGTCAATTCCTCATATATACAGATTTGCGCGACCTTTGATCATTAAATGCCTTTATAAGTCGAATGATCTTCTCTGGAACATCGTCGCTTTGTTTACAAACATTTGAACCAACATTCTATTCCAGCATCTTTCTTATCGTGAATACCTGGTCAAGATAACCACAGCCTGGTCTGAATCCAACTTGATTATAGCGCATCTTGTTGTCCCATACTTCCATAAGTCTGTTGAGTAAAAGGGAAGCAAAAATTTTCGCTAAGACGTCTAGTAGGCTGATTCCCTCGATAATTGTCTCAGTATGTCCTATTACCTTTCTTGAGAATTGGGGGGATTATTTTGATCAAATCATCCGGTAATATTTCTTTTCCATACCAGAGAATATAATCCTCGGCAAAGGAAGGTAATTTTTAATTATTCAATAGTGACAATCGCGAGATTATGATAAAATTTAATTATTCCTTTTTATTTTTATTCATTGTTAATTTATATTTTCAATTTTCAACCAATTTTTTTTCAAGAGGCTTAGAAACTTATAGCCAGTGGTACCGCCCAGGTGTTGGAAGAAGAATAATATTTCACAGACAAGCATATATTCGAAGAATCCCAGCAACCATGCGATTCCCCATTCCAATTTTTAGATCAATACCTATACCCTATCTCCCTTTAATCTCTTTCAAGAATTCTTAGTAGATAACCAGCAGCTTTTGCGCTGTAAAACAATTAATTTTGTGCTGCCTATGTGAATAGAATAGATCTCGAAGCGAAAATTTGAAAGTAATTTGGGAGCGAGTGTTGAAATTCAGATTGTGGAATTATACTTAATGAGGAAGGGTGTTGACACTTGCGATGGGTATTCTGACAAATTTGCTTTTAAGACTTTCTTTAAGGCTGACCAGTGTACTGATGCTGATAACATAATAACAAACATCATAAACATCTCGGATGTCTTTTCATGGGGCTGCGGAAATATATTTTTGAGGAAATAGGGAGCATGGCTTATTAAAAAAGTTCAGAGCTAATGACGCATGGAATGAGCTAATTTAAAGCTTAATTGCGAGCCAAAGTGCTTCTTCTTCGTTTTTGAAAGTTTTGTAAGATTCTTCTTGGCATTTTCTTGTTCTTTCAGTCGAAAGAAGAAATATGTGTGCAGTACAAAGCGCCAATAAACGTACGGATGGTAGCCTAGAAGATGAGGTAGCACATTCAAAATTTTTAAAGATTTTGCTTAATAAATTTCAACTAAAGATTAAAGCCTAAAAACAAAAGTTTGTTTCTCTTTAAAGCTTAAGTTTTCATTAAAATTTTAAAAACTTATTAAATTAATTCATTTGCAAAGATAAAAAACGAAAAGCGCCATTCATTTTCATTTTTGAATTCATTTTCTTGGTATTTTTGATTTTTAAATTTTGGTATATTTGTTTTAAAATTTAGTGAAAAAAAGTAGTTTGTTAGTGGATAATATTTTTGGTTGAAGAAAATTTTTTTTCAGCTGAATTATTTCCAAGACGTCGATTTGCTTCAAAGTCATGGAATCGTAAGTTGAAAATTTCATCGTATTTATTCGGAATATTTTGTTAGAGTTTATGAAAGTCTATTCTCTTGTTTCTATTCTCTTTTGGTTCAACCCTTTCATGGCCATCATATTTCCTTGCTAAAAGTTTTTTCCGTCATTGATTTACAATGAGTTATTTAATTCTCATATCTAAAGTATTCTCATATCTAAAGTAAACATATTTCACTTCTGTACCATTTCATTTCCATCAATATTCTATATGCCTAAAATACAACATTGCTTATTGTACCATTTAATTATTCTTTTTAATTTTCTTGAATTTCCGCTTCTTTTATTGTTTATAAAGAAATGAAAAGATTTGAAATGATCGTTTCATTTTGCAAGATCTATTGATTATTTGTGAAAATTTATATTAGAAGCAGTTTTATAGATATATGGCTTACTTATAGCAAAATCCTGGCTTCACATGTATATGAACATGGATATGGAATTTTATGATAGTTTTAGAGAATATCCTTTCTTTATCTCGATTTAATGAGAAATTAAACTTACAGAATGTAGCTGATATAAAAAAACTTCAAAGTGTTGGAATATGTACGATAAAAGGAATTATAATGACCACGAAAAAAAGATTATACGATGTGAAAGGTCTTTCTGAAGCAAAAGTTGATAAGATAAAAGAAATTGCTGCGAAACTTACGGTTAGCCAATCGTTTATATCTTCTTATTTCTTTTCATATCCTTTTTCGCGTAGAATTTTTTATTTCATTATTTTCGTAGAAAATTGGTTTTGTAACCGCGCTCGAAGTATGTGAAAGACGCAAGTTATGTTTTCGTGTATCAACTGGAAGTCGTGAATTGGATAAACTGCTTGGCGGAGGAATCGAAAGTCAATCAATCACTGAAGTTTTTGGTGAATTTAGAACTGGCAAAACACAGTTATCGCATACATTATGTGGTTACTTTTTACCGTTATTTACCGTCAATTATAAAATCACTGGAACAGGATTTAACTACTTTTTTATATCTAAAGCGATCTTAACCTTATCGATATTATTTTCATATATTGTAATTCCATATTGGAAATTATTTATCTATAATTGTTTTTTTATAGTTTGGCTTTTACTGCTACGTTATGAGTTTCAGTAACTTGTCAAATGCCAAACGATTCAGCTTCATTCAACGGTGGGAAAATTATTTATATTGATACTGAAAATACATTTAGGTGTGTTGATTTCTATTTTTTCCTTAATTCATTTGATCCGATTATTGAGCCGTTTCCGTCTCTTTACCATTACCTCTACCATTTAGATAGATGTTCTCCAAGGCAGTCCTTCCTTAGTTTGATCTTTCCAGAGTCAGTGGTACACTCATCCTCTCTATAATTGAATTTATCTGTTGTCTTCTTTTTTTCTTTCTTTCTATATACCATTTTAGCAATAGGTAACATTTCCAGAGAGAGCAAAGACAGTATGTTCAAAGAAGAATAATTTGAGCTTAGTAATTTATATTTTGCGGAGTGAGAGAAATCTGGCTTGATTCGCTGATTCATTGGCCTTCATAGCTTTTTTTTCTTAGCTGTTCTACAATGCTCTCAGAAGAATCTATTCATTATTCAAAAGCATCAATACTCTTCATGTCTCGCTTTCTTAAAATTCAAGTTGTTCATATATAGAACATTTGGCCTACATAATTCTATGATGTTCTCAGAAGAATCTTTTCCAGACTCAGTCTATGCAGGCATAGCCACATCATGGAATTTCAACGTCTTTTCCAAGGCTTTCGTGGCTGCGGCTAATTGGTGACATATTTCTTGACACTGCTTGTCTCCTTATTATTGATGGTTGATCCTAAAAAGTAGCAGATGTATTGACCATTACTTCTAAAGCTGAGTTCTCCCTTTGTCATTGGTTTAATCTTCTTTATATTCAACTCTGGACCCATTTTTTCGATGTCTGTTTTTTAAATTCATACTTAGAAATTCTTCACATTCTCGGCTATCAAGCTAGTGTCATAGATCATTGATAGCTTACTGGTGTTTCTTTTTCTTCCTTCAATTTTAAAAATATACTCATTTTCTTCGAAACCTCATATTTTCACAATACGTTGAATAGGGAGGGAGTAAGCATTCTTGTTGCATTCCCTTGCCTATCCGAAATTAGTCTATTTTACCATATTCTAAAATGTATTTTTGCCATATACTGTGATTTCATATATTTGTCTAAAGTAGAATAATTTAACAGGTCATTTATGCCTTGAGAATTGTGGCTTAATTTGTCCGATGATCCATTGGTTTATTTTCTTAGCTATCTACGATATTTCTCTACCACCAGACTAGAGAATGTTCAATTGCATCAGTACTCTTTCTATTCTGTTTCCTTAAAGCCCAAGTCTTGTATCCATAGATAATCACGGAGAATTGCTTGTGTAATGCTAATCTTTCATATAGCATTTAAATGTCTTTTCTAAGGGGTTTTCATGGCTGCTCCACCCAGTGTTAATCACTTGATTACTTATATTATGCAAATTATAGCAAATTATAGTAGCATTCATTGATTTTATTACCATTTAATTGGCCATTTTTTTCATAGTTTTTGGCATTAGGAGTAGAATGTTTAGGTGAGTTGTTGCTCTCATTTCGAAGTGTTGATGCTTGGGTTTTGTTCTCGGCAAAAATAAGCTATTTAAAAATTTGGGTGGTATTGCCGATTCACTTGTACTTATCGCCAAATGGCAAAATTTGGCAAGCAAGCGGGGCATGCCTAACCAGAAAAATGGTGAGGGCTCTTAGAGAAAAAAATTTTAGTAATAATAATTTTTAATAATTTATTGCAAAAGTTTTAATTTTTTGTTGTTATTATATATACTTATACTATACTTTATACTTCTTGTACTTGTATTATTATATATTATTATATTTATATATCGATTATTTTTTAATGACCGTTATTACTTTAACAGTATTTAATGGGCTAACGGGCTAATGTGCAAATTTTATTCAGTTTTGCTGATGATTGAACACAAATCATTTGAGATTACAAACTTTATCGAGGATTCTTAGCACATAGCTAGGAGACTGTTTTGTTTATTTGAGAAAAATTTAGACCAGATCGATTGCGTCAAATTTGTGAACGTTTCGATATGGATCAAGAAGCAATGCTAGAAAACATTCTTTATGCTCGAGCATATACTTCTGATCATCAAATAGAATTGCTTGATTTCGTAGCTGCCAAATTTCATGAGGTTATTCGATTTATTCATAAGTTTTTATTTTTCCACATGGATTTTTTGTTTATATTAATTCAGGAATTGGGGATTTTCAAGCTTCTTATTATGGATTCCGTGATGGCTTTATTCAGAGTTGATTATAGTGGACGTGGTGAATTGGCTGAACGCCAACAAAGGTTGGGGCAAATGATGTCACGTTTGCAGGTACGGTACTTTTCGGTCTTTGAACTTCCGTTTTTAATATTTTAAGATTTATATTTTATACGTAACATTATTTAATATTATGTAATATATTTAATATTTATTATACAATATAATATATTAAATATTATAATATATTATAGATGTGTATTTTAAGATTTAGAGAGAGATTTTTATGATTTCAAAATTTCTCCCTAGATGAGTCAATATTGCAATTTCCAAATAATTTAATACACTTTTTAAGAAAATTGCTGAAGAATATAATGTGGCAGTATTTATAACCAACCAGATGACTGCTGATCCTGGTGCTGCGATGTCTTTCCAAGCAGATCCAAAAAAACCAATTGGAGGTCACATTTTAGCTCATGCGTCTACAACAAGAATTATGCTCAAGAAGGTAAGTTGGGGTATAATTTTTATTCCATTTTTCCTTTTTCAAAATTTTTTTCGGAATGTAATCGAAACTGCTTCATTTAGAAAAGTTCATTTTAGATTTTATTTGGCAACCTATTAATAAATTTCAGGGTAGAGGTGAAACTCGTATTGCAAAAATATACGATTCGCCAGATATGCCTGAAAATGAAGCCTTGTTTGCCATTACTCCTATGGGCGTATCTGATGCAAAGGAATAATTTCGAATAATTTTAAAGTCGATTTGTGCTGATTAATTAATTAATTAATTTTGATTGATTTCTCGCCAGATATATTTGTTAATTTGTTGTAAATAAGTTGATTTAATACTTGTTTTAATTTCGATTAAGTGAAGATTCTAGTATTTAAAGTTGTCTAGCATTATTTAGCAAATATCAAACTTTCATTTACCAAATTTTATTTCCTTGCTACTGCCATTAAAAATCGCAATTTTTTCGTGGATGATGCATATTTTTATTAATAGATTCTTCAAATAGATTCATTCCATCGAATTATTTTTTTTTCGAAATTTTCATATATCTTTAAAATTATCTCGTTTGTTTGACAAAACTTTTAAATTCCTAATCTTGTCATATACAGGGCATTTTATTTTTCTTCTCATTTTTTGTTTTATTCGTGCCTATGCCTAACAAGTTTTTCTGTTTAATTTTTATTGTTTTTTTCTTTTCTGCTATTTTTGTTTTCTTTTCTGTTTATGAACCAATTTTGCAAAATAAATATAACCTGAATATTTCTTAACCTATTAATATACCCGATAATATATTTTGGGTTCTTTTGCCTTGAGTTAGGTTATTCATTCATAATTCGTTTGTATTTTTTGTATTTCACTCATTTTGTATTTCAGTTACTGCGTAATACCAAAATGCTTAATTAGCATAGACGAAATGTACGAAAAAAGTTTTAGAAAAAGTCAAGGCTTAATGGAAATAAGAAAGAAAGAGGAAAACAAGCTAGAAAGTTATGGGATTCAAACTGTCGTTTACAAGCAACTGCTGTTTTATATTTCGAAAATAAATCATAGCGATTCTGCCACTACGATGATTTTTTCACCTTTAAATATCTCATTAATTTCATCATATAGTGTGAAAATATTAATGACTATTGGCGATTTTAGAGATGCTGCAAATATTTAACAGAATTTGCTAATTTTTTAGCTTAACGCAAGTTTTAGTTAGAAATATAAATTTTGTCTATCCAGTCTTAAAGTTTCTCAGGGATCCGAAGAGATCCATAGATTTCAAGCCAAGAACCGTGTCCAGGAGGTTAATTTTACCAGAAGTATTTCCCCAAAAAAGTTCTGGTTTAAGGATTGTAAAGATTTAGAAGTAGAAAGTAGGATTAGAACAATAGACTAAAAGGCTAAGAAGAATCCATTTCTGATTTGATTAGTGAGCCTTGGATGAAATCCAACTTCTTTCAATGATTTTTCATGCCCTTATCGTTGAATTTACTGTAAAATTTATTTAGAAGAAATGTTGTTCAATATCATCTTACCCACTTCGCCATAATTTGGTGGATTCATCAGTGGATCATAACTGAAATTCTAAGGCAATGAACATTTTGATCGAATTTCCATAAGTAAACTATAACTGAATCCATTTTCTGGATAAAATTTATTCAAGCCAAACTAAAAATAAACAGTACATAACAGAATAATTTTCACATAACAGATTTCAATAGCGGTGGCATGAGATTCTGGCAAGGTTGAATTCAATTCCTTTCGAAGGAAGACATAAGCTCATAGGCGAATTCAGACAATTCGATGCAATGTTCAAAGAAGAGATTTCGAGAAGCCTTCTTTGTCATCCATAATCACCACTTATCCCTATTTAAATCTGGCGAACTTTGGGTTATAATTCTGATTTACGAGTGCATAATGATAATAATTTAATTTTAATTTCATTCTGCTTAAAGTTAAAGAACAAAATGAGAGGACTAAATTAAGACTAAATTAATTAAATAAATAAAATTTTTGAGAGTAGCAAGAAGTGAATATTGAATACCCTAAAATTCGAAGCATTGGAGCAATATTTGGCATTTCTCGAACTTTTTAATGATAGGTTTCTTGTTAGAAGGCTAGTAACCACTCGGCCAACTTCTTTGAATCTAATTTTGAAAAACTGAGAAGCAAAATAAAAATAAAAATCATAAAAAAGTTTTTTCGCCATTATTTCGTAAGAATTCCTTAATTATGAGAGTTATAAAATTATAAAATTACTCTATTTGTCTGGACAAGAATAAACCTATCATTAAAGTCAACTCCGGGTAGTAGCTGAGGAGCACCTCTATCCTCACGTGACTTTATAAAGCTATGACGAATGGGTCAAGGAAGTCGCAAACGGTATTCCAACCCTCATGGTATTATCCCTAATACTATAAATAGGGACTTCGACATAACAGCCATACAAATTCGCGAGCTGAACCGCTCTAATCCACTTAATGAAGTCAGGTCTTACTGCGTGGAATTCAGAACAGTTATAGTTATAGGAACCCAAGCAATAACCATCCATACCATATCCAAATATTAGTTTCGATAAGAACTACAGTATCACAATATTTCGCATAATTCAGCGGGAAATTATTCGCTATTATTATGTCCGAAAAGTAACGACCAGTTACGATTAATCTATTTTAAAGGCAAGTTTTGCAACATCTCGGTCAATATCAATGTTTATGCTCCTATATTGTGTGCGCTCCTATAATAGAGGAAACATACTACTATGCATAATTTATGACTCTATCACTCTCAAAAAACGACATATTCACGGAGAGTGGAATGCGAGCACAGGAAATAAAGCTTTTCCACAGCTTAGGTCAACTTGCCAAGTAAGATTAATAAAATAGGAAGAAAATTTATCTTTATACATGTTTAATGAAAGAACTTTAAAATATAAATTTTATGACTTACAACTCCTACTAATTGATAACCCAAAATAGTATTTTTTGTATTAATGAAACGTGGTTGGATGACTCTATTGATAATCGGGAATTAAACTTCGATGGTTTTCTAGAGTCACGCAAGGATAGAACAATAAATAGTTTAAATACTCGTGAAGGTGGGCTTATCACGCTTATTCCTGATTATTATAAATTTGTAACTTTTGATGATTTTGTCTATTCCTCTTTCGAATCTCAATAACTAAAATTTATCTTAATAATAGAAACATTTTCCTTTTAAATATATACCGCCCACCTGGCTATTGTAGTATATTCACTAAGGATCTTTACAACCTGTTATTTGGATCAAAAATATTTGGTGCCGATTATGTAACTATTGGCGATCTTAATATACCAAATATAGATCGGGAAAATAGTTGCTTAAAAATTAGCCGCAGTAAATTTGAAGAGGACTTTCTAAACCTTTGTACCTATATAGATCTAGAGCAACATGTTAAGATTGTCACTAGGCATAACATTAGGCATACTAGGCATAAGCATATTTTAGATGTTGTGTTAGCTGCTTCTACTTCTTTTGTTGATAGCATTAGAGTCTTGGAGCCTTTTTGTAATAGTGATCACATCATTCATGCTTCATTAAAATTAGACCGTTATATAGCTCCTTCGAGGTATTCTAGAAATTATCGTCACTGTGATTATGAAATCTTCAATCCTCGCAGAAATAAAATAGATTTCTTATTCTGTTTAGCTCCTTCTATTGATGAAAAAGTTAATTTTCTTAATAGCATCATTTTATAACTTATAGAGCAATATATCCATTCCTTTAAGAAAAAAAGCGTTAGGTTGAGTCCCATTTTTTTTGAATCTCTTAAAAAAATCAAGAAGCTTTATAATAATAAATACAAATTAACCAAATTGCCAAGTGATCTCTCTGTAAAGAATGCTTGAAAAATTTATGCAGTATCATTCATAATTACTTTTCAAATAAAGAGCAGCAAATTTTAAATATTAATAGAAATTTCTATTTCTAAAAATTTCTGAACCTATATCAAAAGAAAATTTTCAAATCCACGTAAGCAATTAATTTTGCAACAATGATAATGTGATCACATATGATATTGATATTGCGAGTATATTTAATCAATATTTTCCCAGTGTATTTGTTGATGAGGATAATACTCATACTTCATGTTTTAACGTAAATGAGTTTGTTGCACTTCTCTCGGTCAAGTTGAAATAACTACTGGATGTTTATGATGCCTTAAATAAACTTAAGCAGTCCATTTCAGCTGGTCCCGATAATATTCCACAAATAAAAATATGCAGTTTCACTGAGCCTTCCACTATTTTTAATTTATAAAGACATTATGAAATCTGGCCTTAATCCCAAGATTTGGAAGTCTCATATAAGCCCCATTCGTAAGAAAGGAAGCACCTAGCCTAATTTGCATTGGTAGCAAGGTACTCGAAAGGTTGATTTGAACAAATTGGTTGATTTACTTATCTTCATGCCAATAATTTTATATCTCCTTATCACAGCATGGCTTTTGTGCAAAAAAACCACTTCTTCACAAATATTGGCAAATTTTTCCGATTGGTCTGCATCAATTGACAATGGTAAAACAGTATCAGTTGTGTACCTAGATTTTGCTAAAGCTTTTGATACTGTTTCCCATAGCAAATTATTGATCACTCTTAATAGTTATGGCATTACAGGAGCCCTTTATAACTGGGTATCAGATTACATAAAAGACTATCACCAAGCCGTACTCGTTAACAACACTCTTTCTGACACAAAACCTGTTAAATCTGGTGTTCCCAAGGTAGTTGTATTGCGCCATTGCTCTTTTTATTATATATAAATGATGTAAGAAATGTGGTACTGAATTCTACTATTTATCTTTATGCTGACGATTGTAAAATTTATTATTCTCATGGTAGATCAGATAGCCTATCTCCACTGCAGGAGGACCTTAATAGAATAGCCAGCTGGCTATATGACAGGCAAATTACCCTTTCCTTTCAAAAAAGTAGCGTTCTTCATACCAATTCCAAAGGTTCCAATTTTCCTAATCTTATTATTAATGGCTATATAATCAGTAGACATTTCGCACATTTCCGATTTTGGTATAATCGTGGATGAAAATCTCGATTTCGACCTTCACTGCAAAAGTTCGTTTAAGAACAGAAGTTTTCTTATCGAAATGTACAGGGCGTTCGTTCGGCCAATTCTTGACTACAATGCTACATGTTACTCCCGAGATATCGTAAATCAAGTAAAATAATTGAAGGACTCCAAAAA